TTTTGGAAATCTGTTCTTAAGCAATTCTATTGAGTAATTCTGTTTTACAAAATCTGTTGTTAAGCAAATCTGTTGTTAAGTAATTCTGTTCTTAAGCAAATTTGTTCTACAAAATGACAATAACATAGTTAAGCCAAAATCTGTTGTACAAAATGACTTTAACATTGTTAAGCAAATCTGTTGTGATACATAGTCAAGTACATCTGTTGTACAAAATGACTTTAACATTGTCAAGCAAATCTGTTGTGATACATAGTCAAGTACATCTGTGATACAAAATGACAATAACATGATACATAACTTAAGCCAAGCCTGTTCTGATAATAAGTCAAAGTAACAAAATGACACAGGAAACTTTCAAATTGAATTTTACAAAATAGCACACTATGTGCACAACTACTGATCAATGCCCTTCCTCTTCTTCCTTGATATCTTCTTTGAGGTACTACCACCAGTTTCTTCACCTATGGTCAAAGGTGCATCAGGTGTTGATCCAGGCCCACCATGTCTTTTGGCATTCCTCACTTCCTTCAATCTTTCACTGACTCTCTTTCTTGATCGCTTCCAAGGCACGGCCACGGGCTTTTTCCTAGCTGAAGGCTTTTTGACATTAGTAGCAGCAGGTTGTGAATCATGTGTTGGGGGAGGTTGCATTGCAGCAGGTTGTGATTCATGTGTTGGGGGAGGTTGCATTACAGCAGGTTGTGATTCATGTGTTGGGGGAGGTTGCATAGCAGTAGGTTGTGTGGGATTGTCAACTTGTGATTGTTGTTCTTCATAAAGATCCATCATATTATTCAACAATGCATCCATCTCTGGGTCTTCATCCACAGTTCCACCTCCAGTTGCAGTTGTATCAACATTTGCATCAGATTTTTTTGACACTTTGGTCCTAGGTGTCTTTCTCTGCATTATTCAGAAACAGATATAAATAAAGACATTTCAATATGATGAACACAATATTATTCAGTAACAGATTCATGAACACAATACCTTTCTCTTTAGTGCATTAGGATCTTGCTCCTTAGCTTGACACTTCCTAGAATTATGGCCAAATTTGTCACAATGCGTGCATCTGTATGCTACACCTACCCTCCTCATCCTTGAACCATTCTCATCCAACTCTCTAAACCTCAGTTTCTTAGGCCTTCCAGGTCCCTTCTTGTATTGTGGTGGCAACAATTCTTCAGCATCCACAGTTGGCCACATGTCCATGCCATTTATTGGACTAACATTGTTTTCATAACATGCCCTGTAAGCTTCTCTCATGTAACAAGGGTCAACATATTTCTCAGGATCTAAGTTTTGATACTGTAATGCAGAAACAACATGCCTACATGGTATGCCCACAAGATCCCAAAAACAACAAGTACAGGTTTTTTTCCCAATATCAACAACAAACTGCAATCCATTATATGGGTGATGGACTTGCCACAAATCACCACTGCTCCATGTAGGCAGCCATTCTCCACTAAGATATGTTTCCTTATCAAGCCTTTTCCTAGGATTAGGCATGACATTGTGCTTCCACTTATCAAGCTTAACAACACTATTAGCAATCCTATTCATCACGTAGTTCCTAATCCATTCTACCATAGTGAGTATTGGCTTATCCCTAGCTTGTAATATTGTACTATTGAAAGATTCACTCAAGTTATTCATCAAAACATCACACTTAGGGTAAAATGAAAATGAATGCTTACACCATAGTTTTGTTGGCACTCCCAACAGCCATTCTCATGCCTTCTTATCAATTTGTTTAAGCTGATTCATCTTCTTTTCCCAAGCCTGGAAGTAAGTAGCCTTTGCAGCCCCCAATAACAGGTCTCTAATGGCAGCTCCCCCTCCAAATTTCTTCTTGAAATTTGCATACAGGTGTCTGAGGCAGACCCTGTGTTCAACTTGCTGATGCATTTCCTCAAAGACACTAACAAGTCCCTAAAAACAGCAAGACAACAGAAAAAAGCATGTACATTAGCAACTTATATATTCCTCATAAATGTTGAACATTAGCAACAGAACAAGGCATGTAACATTAGCAGCAGGTTCTCATAAATGTTGAACCTTTGCACCAGAAATACTTCAGTACCAAAAATTAGTGCATATTTGTGCATGTTTCATAAATGTGAATAACTAAGGTAATTAGTGCATATTTGTACCTTTTGTTGGTCTGAAATAAAAATATACTTTCTCTCTTCTCCAATGTCTTCCATTAGCAATTGCATAAACCATCTCCAGCTTTCTTTTGTCTCAGTCTCCACCACACCAAATGCCAAAGGATAATATTGGTCATTCGGGTCCCTTGCTACAGCAATTAACAATTGACCTCCATATTGTGTCTTAAGATGACACTCATCTACCCCTATAAATGGTCTACAACCCTTGGTAAACCCTTTCTTGCATCCATCAAAATAGAAGTAAAATCTACCAAATCTTAGTGGTAGTGTTGGATGTGGTCTCTCAGTATTTAGTTTGACAGTGTTCCCAGCACAATGTTTTCTCAACTCAGCTGCATATCTCCATAACATGTTATACTGTTCCTTTGCATCACCTTCAATTATTTCTTCAGCCATAGCTTTGGCTCTCCAAGCTTTCCCTTTGGTAATGCCCACTGAATATTTCTGTCTAAGCTCAGACATAATTTCAGACAGTTTAACTTTCCCTTGTGACTTCCTCTTTTCAACCACTAACTTAGAGACCCACTTGGAATTGGCAGACTTGTTATTTAATACCCTTGCACATGTGTGGGTCCCCACCCAAGTCTTTATCTGGTAAGTGAGGCTACCTCCCACTTTGCTACACAATGCCAAAAACCCACATTTACTCTTACACTCAACCCTAACCATATAGCTCTCATTCTTAACAAACGTTATTTCTCTACCATTTAATACTGACCAATCCCTGATAGCATCTTTAAATTCAGAAAGAGAAATGAACTCCATACCTAATTTGAATTGAAAGTCTTTGTTAAGCAGCTATGATCTGAACTTCTCATACTTTGGCTTGGAAGGTTTGTCATCCATGTCACTTTCATCAGCATCTGAACTTTCAAGTTCCTCACTAGCATAATCCACATCTTCACATATCCTTGTAGCCCTCTTTGAACAAGATCCTAAGACACTTTTGGGCACCAAAACACTGACCTTGTCCCTTTTGCTCTTTTCTTTCATCTTGTTGGGATCCTTGGATGCACAACGCTTGAATCTAAATGATTTCCCTTCGATCTCCACCCTATTCCCACTAACTGGAACAACTACCTCCACTCGTTCAAATTGCTCTTCTTCTACTTCAATTACTCTTTCCTCTTCACTGTCATTGAAACATTGGCTTGCATCAACATAGTCACCAGAACTATCATCTCCACTAGAGGTGCTGAAGTCATCAACATTAGGTACCAGAACCTTGGTCATCATGTCTTCTACACCGTGCTCTACCCAAAGATCGCCGTGAACCCTACAAGACATACAATGCTTAACAACTTCTACAGCTCTTGCATCATCAACAACATTTGTAAACCCTTCATCCGTTTGCGGAATCTTTCTCCATAGCCTAAAACCTTCATAACCCCAATCTTTAACCAGACTAACAGCTTCAAAAAAGCTCCATTTATCTTCGTCCTGACATTCAACAGTAGTCTCACTACCTCCTCTATAATACGTATGGCCGTCTTGCACGAAACTTCCCCCATGATGAAACACTAAATTAAACACACCCATTTGCAAGGATGAAGAACCCTAATCGCAGGGTCTGAATTGAAACTGGCTTTTTTTCTAAGATGAAGATGAAGATGTTGCGCCCTAATTTTGCCAAATAATTTGGGATTTTAAGAAAAGGGCATTCTAGACATTTTACTTGGTCTTGTGTGACATGGCAAAAAAAAAACTTACAACTGTAACAAAAAAATAAGCCACATCAGCCTTTTAGGTGATGTGACAGCCTCAAGGTAAAAATTGAAACTTTTAAAATTTGTCAAGATAACTATTGGAACTTTTTTTTTGGCAGGGGGATTTTTCAAATACACCCTATATGTCAGGGGTGAAAATAGGTATTAACCCAATAAAATATTATGAAAGACCGAATCTTTTGTTGAGATTAAAAAAGCAGACCGAATCTTTTCACCAAGATCATGCCGTGCGACGGAAGTGCAATAAGTTGTAGGATTGGAGATTTTCTCATCAACATTGCTCATAACTGTAGTGAAGTTACAATTTCCAACTTCTCTAAACAAACACACATTATCTCTATTATATATTAAAAATTTGCGATGGAGAGAGTATTTCATAATTGTAGAACAATGACACTTCATTCAAAGCGAACATGTGTTCCTCATCGTTAATAAATAAACATGTCAAATACTAGTACAATGTAGGGCCTTAACAAAACAAATTCTATATTTTAACAACCAAACATACTGAGTATAATGAGAGGCGGTTTATTGTTCTACCATTATGAAGTATATTTTCTGTATATTCTTCATAATCTTATCAAATACTGTCAAAGCCATCAAGTTTTTTTGGATATTTCGCAACATATATCAAGAGTATAATGACAGTTCAATATTTATCTAAATTAGAATTAAAATCTAGCATTAAACAGGTTACTTATTAAAAATTTCAACTTTTCAAAGCTAAATAAGAACTCATATTGCAATGCCTATTTATCGCCTTGTTCTAAACGCTGTACACTGTCATTACATATGCAACAAGAATACTTGAAGATGTTTGTCTGCAGAAGGTACAAAATGATTAACTAATCAATGTGAAAATAATAAAGATTCCAACAAGAATGAACCAGCATGTATATTACTTGCAAATTCAAAAACCTTCTCTGCCTGTAAAGGTTCAGCAGGATAGCATTATTGGAAGTCTGATTTCAGTCTTCAGTTTTATGTGATGAACTGGTTAGATAGTATATCTGTCTATGCTGTGATTTTACTCTGCTGTATTCATGCAGCTTTATCTGATAGATGATATTTTTCATACTTTTGCAGTTTGTGTACTCTATTTTAAGTTATCATCTTCAGTATCCTTGTTCTTCACATTATTTTCTGCACTACCTGTTGCCTCCATATTTGAATTATGTATGCTCTCTACATTATCTTTGTTCTTGAGATTACTTTCTGCACTACCCGCTGTTTCCATGTTGGAATTTTGTGTGCTCGGTACATTATCATTATCTTCCATATGTCCATTTTTTATACTATTATTATCATGTACAAAGTCCTCATTTGTAGCACTGGTTTCTTCAGCCAATTTTTCCTTATTTGTCTGTGTATCCTCTTCGTTGCCCTTGATCATGAACTCCCTGTCAGTAGCATCGTTGTTCTCCTTGTAATTATTCGGCACATAGTCCTCATTTGTGGCACTGACTTCTTCTGCCAATTTTTCCATATTCGTCTGTGTACTCTCTTCCTTGTCATTGGATTTGAATTCACTAGCGGCAGCATCGTTGTTCTCCTTGTAATTCTGTGTAATGCCTTCACTCACATGGACAGTTTCAGCGTCATCGGGTAGCTTTGAGATATTTGAAGTCTGTATCCTCTCTTCACTGCCCTCAATTTCAGTGCGGATATTTTCCCTTTCTTCACTCTTGCCAGTATTCTCTGCAGTACGTATAGTTATGTCACTTATTCCGGCTTTATCTGATGACGCTTGCGTGTTCTGTTCACCATCATTATTTGTATTGGTGTCATCACTATCATCTTTCTTGGTAATATTCTCTTCACTGTTTTTCTGCTCAACAGTAATCTCCATAGGCCCTAGTGTAGATTCGATATTCTTGACAATGAAGGTCAAAGATCTAACATCTCGAGCCTTTGATAAATTGCTGCTTGGTGATGCCTGTCATAAGAAACTAAAAGTTTGAATATTGATTGTCACAGAGATGGGATGATTCTTCCCAACTACTAATAAATAGGGTCCAATAAGTTATAATTAATGATAATAGTTTCCGATTTCATATGTCCATCAGCAGATGATTCAAAGCCACGCAAACTATACCTATCGACACCGGATAAAACCATCACCATTCCATCAAACTCTCAGTCAGGGAAGACATGTTTTATTGTAATTTTATCAAAAGAAAAGGGAGAGGAGCAATGAAATGACCACAACAATGTTTAATAGCTACATCATGGTATCAATACACCACCGCATCAAATTAATAAAACTAGAACAACCGTTGACAGTTCTATTGCATCTACAGTTTGCTCTCTTTAAGATAGGAATCAAACTTCATTTAAATACAAAAAGCGAGAATGTCTAAACCTAGACTGACCTGCAGAATTTGCACGACTCGTCGTTGAAGATCGTCCCCAGACACTTCCTTGTAGGTGCCTTTAAGCAAGTGCCACAAGTGAGATTGAAAGTCATCAGAACAATGCTTTTCAATCATACACTGTGCGACAGCAGAGCGACAACCGACTGCGTAAAAGGGACAATTGACAAGCTTCATCGGACAAGCAGTTATACAATGCCTATCCATATCCCGTCTCATAATACTACTTGAACACCTCTGCTCACACGGAATAACCTTGAAAGGACAGACAGAATCATGCTTCTTGAAAAGACCTGCACAAAACCTAGCATTGCATCCCTGATTCTGACAAATGAGAGGTCTAAAATCGCAAGCAAGAAGATGATTGCTAAGCTCTTGCGAAGAATTAAAAGTGTCGGTGCAATGATACAAGTTGTTAAAATCAACATTCTTAAGCAAAGTTTCGGCAATGAGTTGTCTCCTATCAAGTGTCCAAAAACCATTCATATCAATCTCCTGAATAAAATCATCGATTTTATCCTCTCTCTTGTCACTCAAAAGCCACGCGGAAACACGGCTAAAGAAATTCCTCTTGGAACTGGCAAAATCGTCGACGAAATTGGAAATAATATCGAAAGGATGATCGGAAACTTCATCGTCGGGTCCATCTTGCAAGATAAGAGACTCGGCAACAAAGGATTGACTTCTTAGGGTAAGATATTGAATCATTTCCTTTCTCAAATCAACGGTAACTGATCCAGGAGTTTTGAAGAGACCTCCAGTTGTGTTATCAACACAAGCAGAAGCTAATCCTGGAAGGAACATTTGAGCTAATTTGTGAACAACTTCTGTATCACAAAGATCACAGTGAAACAAAGGGCCTGATTCTTTTTCATCTTCAATCTTTTTAGGTCCAAGGTCCACATCAATGGTAGGTAAATCCATCGTTGCTAATATCTACAAATCATTTTTATCATTTAATACATTTTTCAATCATGAAACCTAATTGCGTTATCGAAATCAACAAACAAATTGCAGACAACTTACCCACGTGAATTATCAACTTCACAATTCAGATCTATGAATCGTGAAATTTCGTTTCCGCTTTTTAGGAATGGGAATGGAACCCATAACCCAACACCATTCAATTTCTTTTTCTTTTCTCACCCTACATTTTTTTCTTTTACTATTATTATTTTTTTACTCATTTTCCTATTATTACTTCTAGTTACTATCACTATTATTTTCACCCATGAAAAAATTGAGAATCTCTCGAGGAAAAGTGTATGCTACAAGAACAAGAAAGGAATATGACTCAATATAATTGTCTAACTTTCATATTATTGGCCAAAGAAGAGGAAATGATTGTCAATCCATGGAAATCCGGAGTTTTTGTTTGAAATAAATGATATTATCAATATTATAGATACGAGTAACCACTATTTTCTTATGATTCTTTTCGATAAATAAGATCAATATCGTGCTTTAACAAATGATTGTTGGTTAATATATGATCATTATCTCACTTTTAAAATATCAAATCCTAATTTTTCATTCGCACTACTTGTTAGTTCACTATTAGAGGTAAAGTGTATAAGGTGGAATACAAGGGTTACATTTGTCATGTCTCAACTGTGCAAAGTTTGGTCACTATATGGAAGACTGTGGAGAGAAAGCAACTCATGTAGCTAAGGATGAAGATAGTGGCCAAGAGAGAAAATAATATGAAGTCCAATGGTATTCAATGTGGCAGTAAGGTGCAAGAGGATCGTTGGTCGATTGTTAGTAAACATCGACATTCGAGGAAAAATAAGGAGAATGATTTGACGTTGTTGCATGGTGGTTCGATGAATATTCTGGTAGCAGTTACTATTAAAGCGAAATCAATAGGATTAAGATTTTTTATTATGGGTAAAGATATCACAAATTTGGAAGATGAGAATTTGGAGGAGAAGCAAATAACGGAAGAGAATAACCCGCAAAAGATTACACATAATCGACACACACACACACACACACACAGAGAGAGAGAGAGAGAGAGAGAGAGAGAGAGAGAGAGAGAGAGAGAGAGAGAGGAGAGAGAGAGAGAGAGAGAGAGAGAGAGAGAGAGAGAGAGAGAGAGAGAGAGAGAGAGAGAGAGAGAGAGAGAGAGAGAGAGAGAGAGAGAGAGAGAGAGTATTCACGTGAGAATATTAAAAGAAAGAATATAAATGGACCTTCTAGGAAGAATGTGGAATTTCCATATAGAATCATCTTAAAAAAACTAATGATAAAAAGGTGATTCTCTAGTATCACATGATAACATTAAAAGACAACAAGGTAATGTTACTATGTGTTGCTGAGAAACTTGAGAAAGTGCATGATATCGATAATACGACTACATTTATTATTAGTCATTTAATTTTTTACTAGTTGTAACGCCCATTAATTAATTAATTAAATATTTATTTTGAAATTATTCGTTGAAGTTTTAAGATGTTGTAAATTGTTGGCATAAGTTGCTAGATTATTACTAGTTAATTAATTAGTTGATTAATAGTAGTAATAATATTAGAATTAGTAGAATAATAGAATAATTATGTTGAGCCTATTTTAATGGTTGGAAGTAGTAATATAGGGGGGGGGGTGTTGTTAAGCCCATTAAGAATAATAATATTGTGAGGTTCTATTTAAACTAAAGAATAGGGTAATTGAAAAGTTGCTGGTAATTGGTCGTGAGAAATGCAGAGAAAGGAATAAGGAGAAGAGCAAAGCAAGGTTCCGGTTGGAGTGTGTCGAGCGACCTTCAATTCAAGGTAAGGGTGGAGTTATGACCTTATAATGGGGCGTATGATGAATATTGTACAGGGGTTGGCCGTAGGAATAATTGTTGTGCGTTGATTGTCCTGGACCTGTTATTGAAAGTTGCCCGTTTTTATATTGTGGACGTTTAGGAATTCTATGCATGACTATCTTGTACGATTTATCAATCTCTTAATAGGAGATATAGTTTCCCTGTTGCTATGTTATTCCATGCGATTGGTCGAAAATTAATGGTCGAAGAGAATACTGTAAGGCTGGGTTAACGTTCATCGCAGACGGGATAAATTATGTGCAAAAATGTGAATACGCGTCGTGCTGAGGAGCACAGGTAGTTGTGTAACACCCCAATTCTACCCCTCGTACTTAATAATAAAATCAGAGTTTCAAAATTTCATCCAAACATAAATTGAGGTATCACATATTCGTATTTCCATCACTTTGCATTATAATGCACATCATAAAAATCAAAAGTCGGATATACCGATCATATCATAATTCATCATATAAACATATGACTATTCACAGCACAGCGGATGTGTTCACAAAATGTACATATCATCATGTTATTATCAATACATAAAGTTATAACATCATAAGATAGTATACATAAACTATCCTATCCAAAATAATAACGTTGCCCAAAACCCGAGTGTTACTACTATCAGAGCAGAGCGACTCAAAATAAAGAGACTCGAGTTAATCCTCATCATCCTCGCGGATCACCTGCACGTTACCAATATAAAGGCAACGACAAAACAAGTAAAGGGTGAGATACTCTAAAATATATAATTAAAGGCATGATAAAATATATAAATAGTTTTGGAATCATAATGATATAGGTTAATAAGAATATGTCAACAAATATCAAATCTCACATACTTTAAAATCATCATTTAGTGTATAAGATCAACATTTTAATATCATCACATAATCACCATAATCATGTCAAAACAAGACATAAACTCATATCGTCGCTTTACCGTCATGTTATATCCATCGCATAATTTTCATGAAATTATCACATCATAATCACTTTATGTTCAACACAAAAATCATCACAAAATAAAGTATCATATAACATCGCAATTCATTATAAGCCATTAAATAAAACTCAACGCCAAAAGACTCAAAAATAAACATAACCGAATCCATGAGACACGACTATGTAATGCATGTGGTACCCGCCGCTTTGTCCATAATTAGGGACATTCGACATAAAATCCCATCGTCGCTTTGGCATAAAAGCCCTCGTCGCTTGGCATAAAAGCCCTCATTGCCAATGAATGTATGTGACTCGATGACACGACATCACAAACACGACACAACAAAAACATCATCATCGCACATCAAAATTGGCATAAAGCCCACGTCGCCATATTTATCCACATCAAGATAAACATATCATCGCACCGCATATAATCAAGTATTCATTATAAATAAACAGTCGCAAACATCATGTTCAATCACACCACATCATTATCAAATAATTCACTAAATTCCAAACACGGAAAAATAGTCAAACATCAATAATCGTTGCAAAAGTCATTCACAATAATCAGCATCAATTATAATCATTAACGTCGCAATCGGATTGTCCATACGCGACTTAAACCGACTAAAACGCAACCCGATTCAACTTAACCGTAAATTGACTTATTTCGGGTCGCTCCGTTAAAGACTCGTAATCTCGAAAAACTAACTTCACCACGATGTTCTACATGTCAAAATTATCTAGCACGTCAATTTTCGTTAAATTCTGAGCAACTTGCTCCGTCGCTGAAATTGCCGAAATCGGGAAATCAAAACATAATCGGGTTCTAAATTAAATCGGCTAACTTATGTCATATTTGTATTTAATTAATATAATTAATTAATATAAGAATTATGGAAAATAAATATGAAACAGAAACTATTTTATATAAAAAAAACAGAATACTGCAATAGAAAAAAAAAAGACAGGAAAGTAACATTTCCAACTCCCTCCTCTCAGGTAGCTTACGTTCATGGTATAAAAGGAAAGGGGGGCGTCTCTCCTTTTATCATGATAACTCTTTTGTCGACTTTGAGAAATTCTCATCTTTTCTCTAATCATCTTCACCGTCTCAGTAGTCTCTCTAACCAATTCTGGTCCAAGCACCACACTTTCACCCGACTCATGTCAACACAAAGGGGTTCTACACCTCCGACCATACAAAGCCTCGAACGGTGCCATTCCAATACTAGCATGAAAATTATTGTTATAAGTAAACTCAATCAAAGGAAGATATGTATTCCATGAACCACCATGTTCAAGAATACAAGCTCGTAACAAGTCTTCCAACGATTGAATCGTCCTTTCCGTCTGATCATCAGTTTGAGGATGATAAGTCGAACTCAACCTCAACTTTGAACCCAAAGCCTCTTGCAAGCTTTTCCAAAATTCAGAAGTAAACCTCGGATCTCTATCCGAAACAATACACAAAGGAATACCATGTAATCTCACAATCACATGCGTATAAATTTCCGCCAACTTCGATACGGGATAAGTGATGTTAATAGGAATAAATTGAGTCAACTTTGTAAGCCTATCAACAATAACCCAAATCGCATTGTGTCCTCTTGGTGTATTCGGTAACCCCGTTACGAAATCCATAGAAATTCTATCCAATTTCCATTCTGGAATCTCTAACGGTTGCGTCAACCCTGCAGGTTTCTGATGCTCCACTTTAGACTTTTGACAAGTCAAACAAGCATAAACAAACTGAGCTACCTCTTGTTTCATGCCCGACCACCAAAATAGTTTCTTTAAATCTTGATACATTTTGGTCGCTCCGGGATGAATACTCAAATTGATTCTATGACTTTCTTCCAAGATCATTCTCTTCAAATCCACATCATCGAGAATACAAATCATATCTTGGAACCTCAATACACCCTGAGCATCCAACTTGAAATCTTCATTTTCAGTTTGTCCAATACCAACCAACAAATCAACAAGTTTCACATCAAGCTTCTGAGCTTCTCTAACACTATCAAGGAAATCATTATTGATCTTTAACATTACCAAGACAACACTCTTCGACGTCACTTCTATTACAAGACTCATATCTCTAAATTGCTCAATCAATTTCAACTCTTTCACCATCAAAAGTGACATATGCAAA